TTTTCCCGAACCTAAATCCCAAGAAAATCAAAAAATTTAGAATATTTAGAAACAAGATTCAAGAATATCAAATTTTCCAAGATTGTAAAATTCTAGTTAATCATTTTATGTGTACAATTATTTAGGGAATGTCAACGATGTTTATTTCCAAGCCAACTAGACGCCGATTTTTTTCGATAATACGGTATAATTCTTACATAAAATGTAAATAACATTAGACTGATTAAAACAAAGAAATATGAATTTCTTAGTATTTTTAGTAACACCTTTATTCTTAAAACTTAATTTTGTATTGCAAATATACCAATTTTATTGTTATTTTATTCATATTGTATTCAGCCATCACTTAAATATTTGATATTAATTTCCCAACAAACACATTTCTTACGGGCCAGCATCAATCAAATGCCGCATTGCCGGAGAACAGGCATTGCACAAAACACATACACAAGAAGAAGTGCGAGCGCCTTGCTAAATATTGGAAAGTGAAATTGACGTTTAAATTTGACACTGTTGACAAGTCTACTGCTACTAGCGCCCCCAATTTCGCTTGTAGGAACTATGGACTAGATTGTCACGCATGGCGGGAAGTTTAAAAAAATAAAAAATTTTAATTCTTCATTTATTTTTAATTATGACATACATAAAAACACAAAAAATACACCATTTTTTAAAAATATGTTTAATATCAATATCAAATATACAACAGAAATTAATTTCACCACAATAAATTAATAAAATTAAAAGAATAATGTTACAAGTAGATCAAGAGACAAAATTAATTATAACAAAACTGAAAACTATGGCGTCATAGATGGCTTAGAAATGAAGATATATATCATAATTTTGAAAGTAAAATTATATGGGAAATGTCATCGATCATCATTTTTAAGTCAACTGAACGATTATTTCAAACATACAAGCTGAGTTCGTTCATAGTGCTCTGCAAAATCTAGATAAACAAAGAATAATAAATTAAAAGTATTCCAGGGGAAACGAGAGGAAAAACCTGTATCGTCTCTGATATCTGTCAGGGTATTGTTGAAAGTGTCATCTTTTTGCTCGAAGTTTTCAGGTCGATCGAAAAGATGACATTTACAACAATACTTTGCCGTAACTTTCACAAATATCAGAGAGAGTACAGGTATTGCCTCTCTTTTCCTCTGGGATACTTTATATCTGTTGTTCTTTGTTTATCTATATTTCTCGAGTGCCGACAGTAGTGATGGGTTGTTATTTAACTATCTGTTATTTTATAACAATTATTTATAAATAACATAACGCAACCGTTACTACTTTTAAAAAATAACAGATATAAAATAACGACACGTAGAGATCGGCCGCTCGTGAAAGGAAAAACGAAGTCGGCGCTCTGCATCACCACGAAATTCTATGCTGCTCGAAGCAATTCCAAAAAACAACTAGTATGGATTGAAAACATGTTATTTCGTCAACCATCGATACAGGCGGCGAGACAACGGACAACGGAGTGGGGAAAGCGCTACGGCGAACGTAGCTGCTTCGGTCGATACCGTCAATGGTCGTATTTACAACAGCTTAAAAATAATAGGATATAAAAGAAGCAGGTTTTTTGAAACAGTTGAGGGCATAACGCCTGGCGGTGGAGATAACAGGAGTGGGAAAGGAACGCTGCTGCATCGGTCGATTGTCGATGGAGGCTCGCAACGGGTTGGAGAAGCAGTCATTTTAGATATGTTGTTTTTCAACCTGTTACAAGTATAACAGGGCGGCGGACGAGATAATAGGTGTGGGAAAGGAACGCTGCTGCATCGGTCGATTGTCGATGGAGGTTCGAAACAGGTTGGGGATTAACGCATCAGTTGTTTTAGATACATTCTGTTTCAACCTGTTACGAGCATAACGGACGGAGGTCGAGATATTATGGCGCTGTATGTTTCAGTACTTACTTATTAAGTTTCAATATTTAGGTATACATTTATTCTGAAAAATTTTCAGAATAATATTTTAAGATTTTTTAAAAATGTATACAGGGTGTTTTGAAAAATCTGGTCATTGATTAATCACGATCCTGCTTAAAGCCCTTGACGTAAAAAGCTGATTTTTGGAAAACGGATTGACTTTAGTGTGTAGAGGTTCGATAAGAAGGATTTTTTCGAAACTCGAATTCTAAGGGGTGAAACTACTCTGAAATATTAGAATATTTTTATTTAAAAACCGGTGAGTTTTTCGGAAAAACTCTTAAAACACGTATATTTTAATATGTTTTTTACATATTTTAAGATTTTTAAAAAATATATACAGGGTGTTTCATAAAATATGACCATTGAGTAATCACTATTCTGCTTAAACTGCTGGACGTTTAAAGCTGATTTTTTGCAAACGGATTGACTGTGGGGTTGAGGTTCGATAAGGAGGGGTTTCTCGAATCTCAAATTCCAACAGGGTGAAAACGCCCCTCAAATATTACAATATTTGTTATTTAAAAACGGTTAGTCTTTTCGGAAAACGCCTGGACACGCATAATTTATTTTGTTTTTTTTACATATTTTGAAATTTTTAAAAATCATACAGGGTGTTCCAAAAAGTTGAGTAATTGATTAACCACGATTCTGCTTAAACTGCTCAACGTTAGAAAGCTTATTTTTGGCAAATGTGAGAAAATTTTATCCAGTTTGTATGTTAATGGAAATTCTTGTTTTGTTTTATCATCACCATTAGAAATTATTAATTCGACGCGAACGAAGTCGCGGGTACACGCTAGTTTAAGTGTAAAATTAATTCGAACTCTAGTGTGTAGTTGGTTTACTTATGAAGAATATACTACACATTTTCTTATATTGCTATTTTTTGACCGCAAATGGTAAAATCATAAGAGCTTCTCGCCCGTCGAGTGAGATGCACCCTGTACACTGCTACGCAATTCAGGATCTACGCGGATCGAGGGGCAGGGCGTAGGTATATACTATAGACGAGTGGCCGAATTTTGGCTTTTTTATATCGCAATTTGTAAACAGCGCTTATTTGTAAATAACCACCGTTTTTAGAGAGGTATTTTAGATAACAATCGATATTTAGAAATGTTTTGACACCCTGGAAATACTACCACCGAGCACGTCATTGTTGCAACTTGCAACTGCGTTAATACGCCTGGCGATGACCGTCTCATACTCTTTCAGATATTTAGCAGTAAAATAAAGAAACCTGTTATTTTTAAGCTGTTGTTTTAAGCTGTTTTTTATAAATAACTATAACAGTTTCAACTGTTATCTAAAAATAACAGTTTTGCCCATCACTAGCCGACAGTATATAATTTCAATATCCTAAGTGGAAAGAAAAAAGGTCACCTTTCTGTTTTGTACTATGATCCCTTTCTTCCGATGGCTCATCTCGTTGATATTTAGGAAGGTATGCATAAAATATATATTTTACTATCGGTCCTGGGATGAAAAAATATAAAATTCAATTTGATTTGATGATCCTTTTCTGTCACCTAAATCAGGAGAATGACAATGAGCATGTTAAGATGAAAAAAAATTATTTATCAACACTTACCTACACGTTAGTTCGAGAAGTTTTATCAAAAACTTATATTTGCCTAAATAATTTATGTATTAAATTTGCAAAGCAAACTGCAGCTTGTAAACAAAAGAAATAAAATGGCGACAAGTCAACGTCAACGACCCGACAAGGAGAAAAGTGGTATTCGATTAACAAATTATGGGTCACCAAAAATTGTTTTTGTCTCCTTTCAACGCACACTTTAGAAAGAAAAAGAAATGAACTGTAATACTGAAAGAACGTCAAGGTTTTATCTGTCACTCTTGTCAATAATTTATCGGTAAGGAAGATTCCTAGAAAATCGCTTGTAGTCAAGTTTTCAACCATTGCCAGTTCTCCCATAAGAAGTGTCATCCACCTGAGGCATTGGACCGACCTAAAAAAAAGTACTGGCCCGGACCGTATATGACCGCCCGGCCGACAGTCGAGCCGTATGTCGGCCGACCGTATACGGCGTTGGGCCGATGCAACGTCTAAAATCGTATCGTTGGGCCAACGCTGGCTATACATCCTTAAATTTTATGGCCCTATACATTATATTTAATATAAAATAAACATTGTCATTCGGGCCAGTACTTTATATAAGGATGTAATGGCTAAAAAACGGAATCGGCAGAATGCTGGCCAAACGCAAGGATTCCGTTTCTTGCTAAACTTGGCAACCAGCATCCTTATTTTAAATAGAACACCCCTATATTAGTTTGTTGATTTGTCCTTGAAATTTTAAATAACTTCTAAAATGCCTTCTATACCTGTATCTTCAACTGTTTTCGAAAAAAAAATATATTCAACTTTTTACTATTTTGCATAACTGAGAAATCCCGACTTCTTTTGATTCCTATTTTAGCGAAAATTTTGGAAAATATTTTTTTTTCTCGAAAACAGTTGAAGAAAGGCATAGGGCATTATTAGAGAAGTTACATAAAATTTCAAGATCAATTCAAAAACAAGCTAATATAAGGGATGTTCTATGTAAAAAAAAACGAAGCTGTTGTCGAGTTTAGCAAGAAACGGCATCACTGCATTCTCAAAATATTTTTAGGAGATATATCGCAGCGAGTTGCGATATATCTTATATGAATAACCTGCCCCAGTTTTTAAGAGGATTGGATTTTTGGTTCTCTGTAAACTTCAAATAGGACTTGTGAATAGCCCTATATACACTGCTAAAATACGGAACAAATTCATTTAAAAATTATATATCCTGTATATTTTATTTTGAACAAAAAATGCGCAAGAAAAATCTGATAGACGTGTTCGAGCACCCTTTTAAAAAATCATATATGTAATTTTTAAATAAATTTGTTCCATATTTTAGCCAGTCACTGTATATACTTCCTTGTACGGCGTGAAACTTCTTTCAGAAAAGTTGCAAAAATCGAATTGTAATATTCTGTATTATTTATTTGTTTAAAAATGGCTAGGAATAAATAAAAATACATTAGGCTTATGAAGGAAGATATAATATAAATAATTCATTAATATTCAATATACATATTTACCCAGGGCTGAACACAAATAAAGAAAAAAAAACATTCTTTCAAACAAATTGAAAAAATAAAATAAAATAAAACGTTTCATCTGAAAACAAGAATAACTTAATAACTTTTTTATATGAACTTACAATAAGCAAAATAAACAACAACTCCTTCGAATAAACTTTGTATAAAAATAAAATAAAACGTTCCATCTGAAAAAAAGAATAACTTTTTTATATAAACTTTATACAATAGTTATAATAATCTTACCATCAACTTCCATCAAATCAATTAGTATTCTTATTTCTTCTTACTCTCCCCCCATCTCTATCAGCAGCATTGCGAAGCCAAGTTTTTATCACGCGTTCAATTTCGTCCGCAGTTCCGTTTTTGGAATTCGGATTTCTCCTAACAGAAGCTAAAAATTATTAAAATTATATGCTTTGTGTAAATATGTGTGCATTTGTGTACATACAGGGTGCTACAAATTTGAAGTGGAATATACCGTATGATCGAATAAAAACGGCGTCAGCGATGGCTATGAAATGAAGATCGCTGTCATTTTATGTGTAAAATTATATGGGAAATGTCATCGATCGTCATTTCCAAGCCAACTGGACGCCGTTTTTTTTCGATGATACGGTATATATATATATAAACCGTAATAGATACAGGGTCCTTTATATCGGGGCAAAGTTGAGCATTTTCATGCCAAATAAAATGCTGTTTTGAAAGTTAAAAAAATCCAATTACGTTCGAAGTTATACGAACAAAACCGAAAATTGCAAAATCGCTTTAATTTTTTTCTGAGTTTATAAAATTGATTGAGCTTATAATAATTTGATATCCTGCTTAATTCCTACCAAAGATCTATATTCTGTCTCTAACACATTTAGTTCTTATGGAAAATGACATTATGTATTATAATTGATAAAGCCGAATATTTAAAAAAAAAGTTGATAGTGATATTTTTTTAATTGTATCTAATTTACCCTGGAATTAAGCTTTACTTACCTACAATGACCTTAACTAGATTTCCAAGCTCTTTAAGACCACTTTTTTCATTTCTTCCCGTCCAATTTAAATTAAGAGTTAACTGATGTGAAATTAAGCGAGAAAGAAATTTTCTTGTGCATGTGGCAACATCTTTTCCGCCAATCTGAATTGACCTATATCAAAATTACTATTTTGGTCCTGGCTTGGTGTGATTGGGTAATTTTCAAAAATTTCAGGGGAATTGTTGTTTAAACTATCAGAGCTGCTATCGATTACATCAGTATGTGATTTTTTTTATGTAAACTGAATAAATTTTCGGTGCTTGTCAGATATAACACCCTCCGAATTTGGCATTTATTTATATATCAGTCGAAAGCATACACTTAATAAGAATTTTAAGCAAAAAAAAATTGCGGATGAACCACAATTTATTGAAAAATAAATAAATTAAAAGCGCATTTTTAGGTTATGGTGAAGTTGTATAAGCGTGTAATTATTGTAAAATATGACGATTATATGCATTTTTTATTAATATAAAGGTCAAAATTAATCAGTGAGAAGCATTAATAAATCATAAGTCAAAAATAGAGTTGGTGATATCTTTTGTAATATTTGCCTGATCAATTTACTCTTTCGATTCAAACTTGCCGCCGGAGCCGTCTGTCACCATTTGTTGTTAAGGATGTAAGCTGCCTAAGCATTGTTGCCAAAGTTATTTCTTGTTTGTATGATACATAATACCGTATGATCGAAAAAAAAACTGCGTCCAGCTGGCTTGGAAATTACGATCGATGACATTCCCCATATAATTTTACATATAAAATGACAGCGATGTTCATTTCATAGCCATGGCTGACGCCGTTTTTTTTTCATCATTCGAGTATTGATTGCGTTGGTTTCAACCTTTCCGTGAGTGTGTTAATCTTTTGTTTTGTTTTTTATTTTAATACGAATCTGATTGCTTTCACTTGATTTTACGTGCCGGTCGCCGGACGAACAAATCCTTATACAGTAGCGCTGTCACGATAAGAACAGATTATAAGTTATTTTAAAATCAGGACATTGAAAGCACTCAGATTCGTATTAAAATATAAAAAATACAACAGATTAACCCCCAAACAAGTTGAAACCAACGCAATCAAAACTCTTTCGTGCAACTTTGTAGTTATAAACAGTCAGATCTCGTAGGCAAAATATCAGCTATGGGTAGGAGCAGTTCATCAGACGATCGCCTTTTCTTGATTTTAAAATAATCTGTTGTTAACGCGAGTTTTCTTCCGACCAGCACGTGTTTTTTTAATGAACCTTTCAAGAAGAAATGAATGAATCTGGCAACGCCGACAAAATTTAGAGGAGTTTTCGCATAGAAAGTAGCCTGTTGTAGCAATAATTAGATGTTTATTTTTTCATTAAATTATGGATCATCCACACTTTTTTTTGGCTTGAAATACTTATTTCGATGTATGCTTTCGAGTGATATAAAAAAAGGTACAAAATTCGGAGGGTGTTATATCTGACAAGCACCTAAATTTTCATTAAAAACAGAACCTGAAGAACTTGATGGCGTAGAATAAGTATGGTTATTTGTACAGATTTGTACTATGGGCTGAGGACAATGAGAATCTTCAGAGCAAGCCTCGGAGGTAAAATTTTCAGCTCGCAATTCACCAATTACTTTCTCTACCTTTGCGTTAATTAAACGTCTTTGCTGACGCTTACTTTTGGATTTAAAAGTAGACATTCTAAATACTGATCTGTTAAACAAAATAGTTTCATGTAAGTGCACAAAAATGATTCAAAAGTAGGCATGCAAACTCACCAAGTTGTCACCGTTGTCGGATAGTTTTTACTAATGTCTAGCAATTGATTATTCATTTTTCCTCAAAGCAGCAAGAATCGAACAATACAATAAAAACTTCACAACACTTAAAAAATTACTAAGATCACGAATGATTTAAAACACATTCCAATATTCCAAAGTCAAGACACAAGCGGCGTCTTTTCTCATTTTTCCATTTCGGTCGGCGTTGGCGGGACAAATAATTGACATCATTGACAGAAGAGATACGTCAAACGCAAATTTTTAAGAAGAATGGGAAATGCAAGTTGGCACGTTGCCGTTCCGTTGACGCACTACCGGTTGTTTACTTTAAAATTATTACTTAAATAGTGCCAACGTTATGCCAGCGTTCAAATGCCAACGGCCAAAATTCAATCATCGGTAACACATAGGACCAATTATATTTTGCCGATGCCGTTACTCAGCCATCGTTTACGGCAATTGGCCGATTATTTACCATTAGTTCGTGTTTTCTGGGTTGGTATTATAAATAATCAACAGTATTCAGTAAAAATTACTGAACAAATATATGTTATGCTTTACATACGTTATATTATCAAACAAAAACACATTCTTCTTTTAAACTTTATCATTCTTGTCTTTACAAAAATCTTTTTTAATTTTGAACTCAAAATAATAATCTTTTTCATGATCTTTAATACAATTTTCCTTATTTTTCCCGAGATCATAATACCTACTTACGTGTTTATCTTACGTGTTTGAATTTATCGAAGCTGCACGAACAACACTTGGAGTGGAGATTCCACAATATGAATAAAATAAACATAATTGTCCAGTTTTCTTTAATACCATCCTGGGAGACTATTATTTTTAAAGTTATTAAAGATATTTTCAATAGAATTGTCTTGATTTATAACTCGTACCCACTTTTCTTGCTCTTCCGGATACTTTAGGCTGCCTAGTATAACTATCCTTTCCACCAGGAACACAACAAAGATGAGGCATAGCACCAAAAACACACTCCACTTAAGCTTTATTGATGAATTGTTAGAGTCTTAAAAAACACACACAAAAATCACGATAAATAAAAAATTTATGGGCCCTTTTAGGTTAAAGCACTTAACAAAACGTGTAATATTTCGTGTTTTTTATGAGAAACAGAGTGACCATCATAGTGACCATATATCTGGTAGTACTTTATGTCACTTAAACACCAAAATAATTAGTTTTTTGCACTACAATAACAAATAATACCAAAAATCAACCGACAAAATATGAATATACAATCTAACCCAATATCTAAGTATGTACAGCTGACGAAGTAGACAAAAGTCCGCCCGTAGGCTGATCTTTTATAGAAGGCAATGTTCGGGCTTTAATAAACTACTTATTAAGACACATAAGGGTTATTGCCATGACAAATTGAGTTTGATTGCCATAACAAAGTTTAATTGCCATGGCAAATTTGAGAATTGATCATTTCACCTTTTTTGAAACAGCGCACCTATTGTATTTGTATTACAAAGTGGTGCACAGTGGTCATTTTATCTGTTCTAGGTGGACATAAATGTTCTTATTAAAATCCGACAAAGTTATTATTGCATATTAATAGTAAGTATTAGTGAATTCAAATAGTGGCCAATTAAGCACAAATCTAACAGTATTACCAGAAAACAACAAAAAAAATATCCCCAATATACAGAGTGTTTTTTAATGTTACCACAAAATTCAGGGACGTGTTCCTTGGATGAAATTGAAATGAAGCAAAAAAGTTCCTATGAACATAGGTCCGGAAATGCATCGTTTCTTAGATACAGGGTGTTGAAAGTAAAAATGTCATATTTGTATATGATTGAAAAAAGTGTACGCCACTGCTTTTTTAGAACATAAATTATTTTCATAATCTCTGACCAGTTTCTAACAAAAACGGCCTCTTGACATTTTTCTGTCCGACGAACGGTTTTTGCGTGAGAAAATAAAATAAAATTATCTACATTCCTAAAGATGTTGTGTATATTAAAGATGCATAGGTCATGTAGATAGGGTTATTTTATTTTTTTACGCAAAAACCTTTTGTCGAACAGAAAATTGTCGAGAGGTCATTTTTGTTAGAAACTAGTCGGAGATTATGAATATAATTTTTGTTTTTTTGTCCTCAGCAGAGGTGTGCCGTTTTTTCGATCGAAAACAAATATGACATTTTTCACTTTCATCACCCTGTATCTAAGAAACAAAGCATTTCTGGACATATGTTCAGAGGAACATTTTTGCTTCATTTCCAAGGAAAACATCCCTGAATTTTGTCACAATATTAAAAAAATACCCTGTATACAAAAAAACATACATCACTGAATGCATAAATTAAATTTATGTCCTCTTTCCAATTTGAAAATGTGGGTAGCTTGTAGCTTTTCATGTCAAGAATTTTAAAAATATACACCACTAAGAACTAAATCATCCTTTAGAAAACGTTTCAAAACTGTAAACTAAAACACTACCTAGTCTCGGTTAAGAATTTGAAAATGAACAATTTGTAAAAATAAAAAGATCTATTCACTATCACTCGTATCCCAACTGGAACAAAAACTTCCATCAGATGTACTCTCGTCTTGGTCCTTATTAATTCATCCTTTGAATAGTGTTTAAGTAAATGATGAATCCTCCGTTTCTTACTTTTATTTGTGAGATGTTCAAAAGCTTTTTTTGGCCGACCTCGGGAAGTGTCTGTTTGAATTTGAGAACTTGACGGTGTATTCCTGATATTATGTATCTCACAAAAAGAAATAGATGGTTCGAGCCACGTACTGTTCTTCGTTAAAAACTGATGTATAATCCTATGACAGTTTTCCCATTTTTCATTAACTTTATACGAAAATTTTCGAATTTTATTTAGCACCGATAACTCCTCTTTCTCAGATAGATGATCTACATCAAAAACCTTAAGTAGCCAATTAAAAAGTGCATATACCTTTTGGATTTTTTCGGGTTCTTGGCACCAAACTTCAAAAAGTGTTTTACGGGTGACCGAACATGTCGCTGAGAACAAAAAAATATTGATAAAACTTGCAAATATATGCAAAACTAGAATATATCACAATTAATATAAAACCCTAAGTATATTTATAAAGCCAGAATCAAAGCGGAAATCTGCGGGAATCGATTTATATAGCTTTTTGAATTTGAAAGAAGAATAAAAATAAATATTTTTGCACGGGCCACAAAACAATTATCTATATTATTAAAACCTTTCAAGTTTGAATGTGTTATATTTTTAACTAATAGTACATACCTTGATCTACACCTTCCATGTTTTCAAATTTTTGAAATCTTTTGAACTAGCGAACACAAGTCAATAAAATTCACTTTATTACTGCTCGGATTTGCAAAGCAGTCCATACCTGTTTTAAACTGCTCGATACAATATTTTTTTATGAAACATCAACTAATATAACCATAGACTTAGAATAAAATATAGACTACACTATTTACATTTAAGCGCGGTCCAATATTAATTTTTGTAAACATGTTTACTCCTGGGTGCAGCTGACCTCGGCCGTCTGAGTCTTTCGCCTCCAGCCTATGTTGTCACGTCTAAAATATTATTAATATTTTTTGTTGTTATACACATATATTGAGATATTAAAACTGTATTTTAATAAAGTAGTGTTTAATAGTAGAAAGATGTATTAAATAGTCCCTATACTACTAAATTATAAGTCGGAGACTATTTAAAAATGACAAATTCTTTACAATTTGGCAACACCCATCAATCGCCGGGTCGCCTGTTCATTCTTTATTCTCTCGTAGTAGAGCCATAGTAGAGTAAAGCACGTGTCGTAAAACCTTGTTGTCACAGTTTCTCCATGGCTATTTTATTGTTTTTATTGGATGTTTTGATTTTGTATTTTTTGGATTCGATTTTCTTAGTGTGTAGTGTCGGTTTAGTGTTTATTTTGATTACTTTTATTTAAAAACTATAAAACATGGTTCGTCAGTGCCAAATTTGTAAGAAATTGGACTATTTAAGTCCTGGAACAACATTCCACAGGTAAGTCAAATTTACTATTTTGGCGTCAGTGGCGTTGTAGAAAGGCGCTTATTTAGATAATAATTTAGTAAATTATAAACCCTGGAAAATCTGTATTTTTTATATTTATCATTTACGTAAAGGTTCTTACTAACCTCGTTATTAATATAACGAGTAGATACATTATTAAGTACATAAGAAGTAGACACATTATTTTCTTGGGCATTGGTTAATTTAATGCTTTTTTTTATGAAAAATGTGTTTCTTTTTATTCTAAAACCATCCTTAGAATCTAAAATAACATACAGGAATTCCAGAATGATATTCCATTATGAAACAACAATTTTTAAGGCTTATTATAAACTATAAACAATCGAGAAAGTCGAAAAAATTACAAGCTACCAAACATTTTAAAATACCAAACATTCCTTATTTTTTTTCAAGACTAAAATATTTTACAAACATTACTTTTTCCCTATAGTTTCACATCAGGTATAGAAATAACTACGTTTTTATGATAGGGTCACCATTATGATAACAAAAATGACGAACAATGGTCCAGAAATGTAAACAAGTACATATTTTTTGTAAATATTTTTCTTACCGCTTGCATTTTTGTCCATTATTATTTCACAAATTATACAGGGTTATGTAAACCAGGTAGATATTTCGTTTTTTTTATATTAAACAAAGATAAAATAAATATGCCATTTTAAAATTTATCCAGTACTTACCTAGAGTTTTTTCTTTTTTTTTCTCGACTGTTAATCTATTATTAATTTGTAATACCGTATGATCGAAAAAAACGGCGTCCAGTTGGCTTGGAAAAAACCATCGATACATACTCCATATAATTTTACATATAAAATGACAGCGATCTTCATTTCATAGCCATCGCTGACGCCGTTTTTTTTCGATTATAAGGTATAATTTTCATTTTTTCTTTTATAATGTAATATCACTTAAGTAATATCACATATAATCTGAAGATAGTTTTAGAATTAACCAAAACGTAAATCTTTAATAAAACAATCTGTTATTATTTGCCATATATGTATGTATCCAAGAAAATAATTTACATATTATTATTATATGTTTTACTGTTTTTTATCTTTATTTGAAACTCAGAAATGTTGCATTGGCTTTCTAAAAAAATGAACTTGTAAGTTTTTAAAATGCTTCGTTTCGGAGATACAGGGTGTAGAAGTTTCATTTTTATTTCGATTTTTTTCCAAATAATTTCTGAAGTGACGTCAATATTTGGACGAAAATTGGCGTTTGGGAGTTTTTTGACATGAAAAATTAGATTTAGATGTCAATTTGACTTTTACTAATAGGGGGCGCCACCTACATATTTTTTAAGTTATTTGAAGAGTAATACTTTTTGTCTGTATCTATATAAAACTACTGAGAAAAATTTACATTTCCAACGTTTTTTACTTAATAAGGTCTCTTGTTGACACTCGCCACAAGTATAGTTCTCAAGATATTTGGAAACGAATTAATCAATACATTCTTCATAAATTATTTGGAAAAAAGCGAAATAAAAATGAAATTTCTACACTCTGTATCTCTGAAACGAAGCATTTTAGGACATAAATTTATACTATTTTTTTTACTGATTTTATTTGCAGATTATGCTGCCAAAGTTTCCTGAATACAATTCCGACCACTCTGTATATCAAGATATCCCCCATTACGTACTAGTTTTTCTTAATAATTTTCTATACATTTTCCAACGCCAAGATGTACCAAGCGCATACAAATACATCAAGCTTCAAACAAGCTTGCACGTTGACAGTAATACCTACAGTAATATTGTATTATATTAATGTAATATTTTTGAACCAATGTTCAATATTACTGTAGTAATACTGTTTATACTCATGCCTTTTATATTTGTTTGAATTTGGTGCATATTTCCATTGAATAAAGTATAGTCACCATTACCATTATTATACTTACTCTATAATAAAGACAGTAACGAGTTAAATAAATGTAGTTTTCATTTTATTCACTTCCTAAAAGCTTGCTTTAATGGAACAGATTCCTGTTTTTTCTAATTTACATAATAAGACATCACTTTTACCGGAAAAAAAAATTAAACAATTATAAAGTTTTTTCTCTTTCTGTTCTATTATATCTATAGAATAGATCCTGTTTTGATTAATATTAGAGTTGTAAATGTTTGACTAAAATTAATATTTTATTAAATTAATAATTTATCATCAATTTCAAAAATTAAATAATTTCGATTATTAAAATTTCTTCTATAACACGTACTTTATTATTTTTATCGTTTTTAGACTCTAAGACGTATTTTTTTTCTAAGTCCTAAACTTTGCTTTATATTAAACTATTTTCTTTATCGTAAATCTTAATAATATAAAAAAGTTTAAATACGATATATTTTTAATTGAATTATAGCTTCATTAAAATTAAAAAAAATACCCGCCTATGATACGGAGAGTGCAGGTGCACTGAAGAAACAAAAGACAGTGTTGCGTTGGGCGGCAGAGCCGTCAGGAAACGACCGTTACGACGGAGACAGCCTATCTATCGCTCGTGTCGCACTCGTTAGAGCCAAAAACAATAACACAACAATAACAAGACGTTGTCTGTCCGCATCTTCCAGCTATTTATGAATGAGATGCTCAGTCTATATTTTATTCTAAGTCTATGAATATAACATTTCTGTTTGTGCATATTTTCTTAGTATAAGTTCTTATCTTTACATTATACATAAACAAATGTAAATTAGTACACCTAGGAAACCGGATTTTTATCCACCTAGATTTCAAAAAATGACTATTGTGGGGTGTTTGGTTTGGTTTGGTTTGGTTTTAGCGAAAGGTGTTAACGTGGAAATTAAGCGTGGAACTGACTTCGAAAATTTTGGCGTTTGGTACATTAAATTATACCAGCAGAAAAAAACTAAAGATGTAAATAAAAATAAGATGTTTCCTCTCAGAAACGGTAAGTAGCTAAACGATTAATGAGGGCTCTACGGATAGAGCTAGTGGATATTATCTATATTCGCCCCATTTAAACTGTGTTTTGAAAATGCACAGTTTCCGAGATATTTAATTAGAAAGATTTCGATTGTCGATTTTCTGGATATACCCCTTTGAAAAAAATTTAATTTTTTTTATTAACTTTTTCCATTTTTCTCACCTGGTACGGTTAGAAGACGTTAATGTAAGAATTCTAAACGCAATTTGACTCCCCTTTTTTAATTACCGACAATTTTTTTTAAATACAACATAACCTAAAAATGGGGTCAAATTGCATTTGGAATTCTTACATTAACGTCTTCTAACCGTACCGGGTGAGAAAAATGGAGAAAGTTAATAAATAAAAAAATCGATTTTTTTTCAATAACAATATCCACAAAATCGACAATCGAAATCTTTCTAACTAAATATCTCCGAAACTGTGCATTTTCGAAACACAGTTGGGGCGAAACACAGTATTATGCAAATATAAAGCTTCACTAGCTCTATCCGTAGGCTAGTGTCGTTTAGCTACTTACCGTTTCCGAGAGGAAACATGTTATTTTTATTTACACCTTTATTTTTTTTCTGCTGGTATAATTTAATGTAGCGACCAAACGCGAAGATTTTCGAAGTGACTTCTACGTTCTACGCTTCATTTTAACGTTAACACCTTAAAAATTATTTAGAATCATAAAAAAGGTCCCCTAAAAAACTCACGGGATTTAATATCTCGACATTGTTTAATATGCCTAATTCTGATTACGCATTTTTCAAAGCGACTGAAAACAGATAGGATTTCTGTAAATTTTCCTTCTTTTGTTTAAAATGCCAGCATTTTATAATATGCCTAGTCTTTTTGCAAAATGCTGAATTATTATATGGAAGGTATAGTGAGAATCGAACTTTATTAGGACATACAGGATCAATATGTAAGTGGGAGAGAGAGAAGGTATTTAAAATAGGGAAAAACACCTCATTGATCTAGAAAAATAGGTAAAAACGATTAGGTTTATTCCGATTTGGGGTCTGCGGTGATCACTCATCTCTATCGGCCTATGGAGGTATTTTTTGGTATACTATGTCTCACTATTATTAAAGAGAGGGAATTTCCCGTAAATGTCGATCTGAATAAATTCTTGCACACATGTGGGGGTTGGGGGTTGAGGCCTTTTTACTTCTATGTATATTATTTTATATATTTTTTTTTCATTTAATTATTCTTTAGCGAACTACGCAGGTATTTTTTTAATTTAATTAATAATAATAAATCACCGTTTTGATATCTATTTTTCAAAAATAGTGCTAAATATGCAACATGTATAGTTTTTTAATAACTAATGCTAATTCACTATGTAACTGCTAATTCATTATGTATTAATTATATTACTGTTTTATCCGCAGTTATAAATAGTACCGATTTGAAATAGATTACCTATAGTGAAATATTTAATTAAAAATAGGTCTGGCATTTTGTGTTCGCAACTTATTCATTTAAACAGAACACATCCACGAAATGGCAATGTTAAACCGATCTATAAGGGTAAGTATTCCTACTTGTTTTTGCATTTCGAATAGTTTAATTTTAAATAATACTTCTAATATTAATGGTAAAGTGTAAGAGTTTTAGCGAAGTTGATTTATTTTAGATATTTTCTCTCAAAAGACATTATGCAACTGAAGTTAGAGAAAACATAATACGAAAACTAAGGGAGAATATGTCAAGAATGCAAGCTGATGATGGAGTTCCAGTTCATCTTAAAAAGGGGTTATTTGACAAGATGCTTTTTCAAGCCACTTTCATTTGTGGTCTTATCGGAGCCACGAACGGACTTTATACAATTATAACAATGGCATTCAAAAGGAAGTAAATATATATCTACTAAGTAATTCTATGTAGGTAATTATGGCATGTATTATAAAATTGATTCTAAAATAAAATACACTTGATATAGTTTCTTTCTGTACACTCTATTCCCGAAATGACCTGACTACTTGTAGATTTTCGTATTTTGCATGTTAGCAAAAAAAGTCATTCTACATAAAAAGTTTTGCATATTCCGCAGAGAACACTGCCCTCCACCGCCTGATTTAAAATTTAGAAACGGCATATACAGGGTAGGTATACTTAGTACAGTCTATTTGAAAGATATTTAAACATCTTTAGATCTAAAGATAATAAATAACTGTCTTGTTAATAAAAACTTTAATATCAAATTTCACCTTAAATTTTACTTAAAGACAACATTTTAAGAAAGGTATTTTTTTAGAAAATTCAACTCACAATACAGGCTGTCCCAGAAATAAGTGCAAATACCTATTTCAACTGGTTCAACCCCAGAAACACGCCTATGAGGTTTTTGGAAATTGTGGAAATTTTTTTTGGAATTTTAGTTAAAAACCATAATTTCTTGATAATATGGCACCATAGGTATTAGATTAAATTTACAAGAAAGAAAATCCAGAAAAGATCAAGTGGTTCTCAAAATTTTAGCAAAAAATAATTTTTTTGGAAATTTTCAAAGTAAAATAATTCGGTATTTTGGACTTATTTGAAAAACGATAAAGAGAAAATATGTTTCTTTTATCGAGATCTACCACCCCTTTAAATACTTGCACTTATTTCTGGGACACCCTGTGTATAAATTAGTTGTGCATTCTCTAGCACTTGTCAAATGTGACGTCAACAAAACTACTTTTTTCCACAAAGAAAATGCTGCCTCACCAAGGCGGCCACAGCTGCTTTTCTGACCAGGCTATAGCCAGGCACTACTTACTGCGGGTTGTAAAGTTGCACGGGCCGGATAGACGCAAATATAAGCAGAGATTAATAAGTAATGGCTCTTAAGTTAATGTCTATTCTTTTTACGAATATTTAAAGCTTTTTCGATTCGGGCGATTATAACGTGATAATAAGTAACATCTGACAACAGCTCTAAAATTTTCAATGATTTATACGTCATCCCCACCGATTTTGCGTCAAAATTTCAAACCGCACAAGTAGGCGTTTATGAAAAATGTTGCATATATGATTGGAGTTTTATTTTTCACAATTGTAGAGTGGAAATACCAGGGGTAAGTGCCAAATAAGAATAAGAGGGTAAGTGCCAAATTTTTCAATATTAAGTTAAGAAAAGTAATAAATACCATGCTGCATGTCCTAACAAAAGTTACAAGTGCCAAGCGAAATCGTCTATTTTTCATGTGTTTTATATGTATTTTAAAAGATATTTTAAAAATTTATTATTTGCAGTTGTACTGTGTTTTTCTCATTTACCTCGAAATGATAATTTTGGCGCTTACACCCTTTCGTATTTCCACTCTTCCATTACTTACTCATTTTACTACAGCTGTAATAGATGATATTTAGCTTAGATATATTATCTTCATTTCAATAGTATACATAAAAGTTTTTAAAATAGTTAATTTTTTTCTACACACATTTTCTTACACAGGTAAAAACCGACAACACTGTGTGCCGCTTTTCATTTTACCTCTCTGTCTGTCAACCGATCATTTATATTTATCTCTGTCGCATGCGTTAAAATACAGATGTCCAGGATGGTATATTTGTAATTGCCACAATAGACCATAATGGCCTCGGTGGGAGATCGAAAACAAAAGTATCAGTTCGCAAAATTATGTTTTAATACATCGCTTTCTATACTAACTTAATTCTGTCCAGCCAGTAGTTACCGTTTGGAGACACTATATAGAAAAATTGACAGAAAAAAAAAGGAATTTTAAACCTAGTTTTCACGCATTCGAACTTTGAACGTCTTCTGCGAAAATCTTACCTGCTAGATTTCAATAAGTTGAATTTAGTGAACACCATAACTCCTTCCCATGATTCACTTTCATATCTCCCTAAAGCAAATGAGAATTTACAGTTTCTTCTTCACGCCCGTAGCATTAGATGAGCTCCGTAGTACAATTAATAGTATTACAAACAAATCCTCATCTGGGACTGATGGGCTTACTCTCAAAATGTTCTCTGAACTTCCTGAATGCACATTAAACCATCTTACTACTTTAATTAACGAGTCATTCCAAAAAGGAGTCTTTCCAAACTGCCTTAAGACAGCAATAATTATTCCTCTGTATAAAGGAGGCGATAAAGATGAAGCTTCGAACTATCGCCCAATTGCACTCCTGCCCACATTATCTAAGATCATTGAAAGATTGGTTAAAAAAAGGTTTCTATCTTTTCTCCTTAAATATAATACTACCCATCAATTTGGATTTCTAAGTAACAGTTGCACAAATGATAGATGATCGACCTATTTAATAATGTATACTCGCCTGAATAACCATCACTCTACAGCTACAATTTTCTGTGATTTCTCTAAGGCTTTCGATTGTGTAAATCATAATATCTTAATTAACAAATTGCAATACTATGGTTTCAGGGGAGTGCCACTCGAATGGCTTAAGTCATATCTTGGCAACAGAAGGCAGCTTGTGAGGATTGATACGTCTATGTCGTCTTGTAGGCCTATAGAATGCGGTGTCCCTCAGGGTTCAGTACTTGGCCCTATTTTGTTTCTGGTGTTTATCAACGACATTGCAAATCTAGACATTAGCGGTAAATCTGCCTCTTTGCGGACGATACTAGTTTCACTTGGAGCGGCCCAAATGTTGCGGCACTATATGATACTACTAGTTGAATGAAGCCTGGCGCATCCGCCACGACATCAGGAAAAAATACTTTTTATTTATTTTTTAATTAAATGAAAAACAAAAAATCCGGCGACGACAGTTTTTAGAAGAGTCAATTAGCCATCCTTTAGTGAAAAAGCAACTTTCTAGAGCAAGTCGTTACTTCAGTAGAGACGACACAGATAAACATTACAATTTTATATATGTAGATATCCAGTGACTCTTGGTGCGATTCTAAGTCCATTAAGTCTTGGTGCGATTCTAATCTCCTATGCCTCAACCTATCAAAAACTAAAGTTTTGTCATATAAAAGTACTATACAACCTTTTGTACTTAATAACACCACTATTGACGTCGTGGACTCGTTAAAATGGGATAAGCGCTGCCTGTTTTGCGCTAAGATCAGTTTCTAAGGAACGTAACTTCTCAACCTCTAGAATAGCCTATTATGCCCTTTTTGAGTCACATCTTCGTTATGCCCTTCCATTCTGGGGTACTTGCTGCGCAATAAAATTTGATCGTGTTTTCAGACTTCAAAAGAGAGCAGTTCGATATTTATTGGGACTGAACAGTAGAACTCACTGCCAGAATTTCTTTAAAAATTTGAAAATACTGACTTCTTCCTTCTTTATTCATTTTTGAATCCGTTTGCTTAATCCGCAAGCACATATCTGCCATTCCCGAAAGGCCATCTCATAACTATCCACTTAGGAATGCAGAGCACGATCTTTATCTGCCAACCCCGAGCTTAGAACTAGTTAAAGGTTCAATACTGTACAATGCCAAAAAATGTACAATCATCTGCCTTTGAATATCAAGTCGCTTTCATTCTTTCCCGCATTTCGCAAAGCTCTAAAATCATACTTACTGGAGAGAGCCCTATATGCGGTAAACGACTTTTTTGTTGTATGTTTAATTATGAACAATTTTGAATTTTAAAATTTTGATCATCTCACACACTGGTCAAAGGTCAAGTATTTAATATTTTATAACTCTAAAATTATATCTATTTACTGCGTACTGTTCTATAATTGTCCATGTATATTCTTTTTGTAATTTTAAAGACTTATTTTTTTTTGAATTGTATTATTTGTATTGTGTATTTTTTGTTGTTTGTATTTTTTTGTAATTTTGTTGTTTATGAGTGCTTTGTTGATTTGGCTTTTTATACAATAAAGCATTGTTTGTTTGTTTGAATATTAACGTTTTCATACATTCAAATATTTAATACGAATTTCTTGATTAATTTTATGTAGGTAGCTGCTAGACCCACGTCAGACCAAAAAATTCGAATAATTGTCAAAACTTTCTTATCCATTGACAAAAATTATCCGAAATTCGAATACAAGTTCAGTTTTCATGCATCCGAATTTCGGACGAGTTCTGCGAAAAGCAATATGGTAGCACGAAATTCGTAGAAGTTAAAAACGATATAACTATTATACGCAATTCGGAGGTTTTAATTAGTGATGGGAAAAACCGATTAATTTCAATAATCGAGTACTCGAGTATCAAGCGATTGCAATAACCGAGTGATCACTCCAGCGAAATATCGCTCGTATTTAAAAACGATTTTTCGTCCGTCGCATGTTGTAAGTACTCGTTAACGCCAAGCGCCAAGCAGTAAGCTGCGTGCGCAGGGCACATATTCTTTCGGTAAGAACGGCAAGTAGTAAGCGGCGAGCGATTCGCTTGACTTGATCGCCTTATTTAGTATATTTCGAAGCATTGTCGATGTAGGTCGTAAAATTTTGTCCCTCAGATACGCAACGGATAAATATACCGGGTGCGTCTCAAAAGTGGCTCACCCCTATATATATATTTATTTTTTTCAGATAAAACAACGAGATTTGGTATGTTAGTATATGACATAAATTAGGATTGATTGACATATTAAATTGTTTTCGGTCACTTCCGGTTTCACCGGAAATGACTAAAACTTTTGATTTTTAAATCGCACCCTCGTTTTTTTTTTACTTTATTCGCTAGAAAATGACACTCTGAATAGAATGACATATCACATGTCAACTTTTGACATATTCGCATATGGTTTATTTGATATTGTAACATGCGGTTCATAACGCCAATTTGACTCGAAGTACCAAGTGTGTGGTATCAAATTATTCATAAAAAAAATATTTTTCGAAATATGCTAATGAGCCACCCCCGTTCCATTTGAAAAAAATTGAGATATGATCAAAAATACGATTTGGGCATCTTTTAACCGGTCAGGGCAAGACACTAAAAACATTGACGATCAAATCTATTTTTCCAAGACTCCTTGTTTAAAAATTAGTGTTTTTAACACAGCCATGGCACTCTAGATTGAAATTTAAAATACAATTTGTTTTTAAGCGAATATGTCAAAAGTTGACATATGATACGTTATTCTATTTAGAATGTCATTTTCTATCGAATAAAGTAAAAAAAATACGGTGTGTTTTAAGGGTGCCATTTAAAAATTAAAAATTGTAATCATTTCCGGTGAAACAGGAAGTGACAGAAAACAATTGAATATGTTAATCAATCCTAATTTATGTTATATTAAAAAATAAAAACTAATATACCAAATCTCATTTTTTTATCTAAAAAAATAAAGTAATAGGGGTGAGCCACTTTTGAGACGCACCCGGTATATACGGCGTCGTATAAATTTGCTACCTGCAATATATGTAGAAAATTCGCTCGGCTTTTTATCGAGTATGTCACATTAAAATCGGATTTCAATTTATTTCATAAATAAATTTGTCTCGTCACTTGCATCGCTCGTTCATAATCGAGCGATGTCGGTTATTTCAATAATCGAGTACTCGAGCGAAGTTTCGCTCGAGTTATCCCATCACTAGTTTTAATGTGATAGACTAAAAAACTAAAAGTAATAAGTTTTTTTTTATTTTATTTGAAGCACTACGCGGTGTTGCCAATATATTCTTTATTTATTGAAACTTTGGTCAAAATCACTATATCCGAAAGGTGGTTAAAACTAGAACGATTTTAACTTTATTGATACTTCCTAAACTACTAAGGATATCAGAATAAATCCGCGCAGGAAAATTTACGTTTCCTGTACTGGGTATTTTTTATTACGACGTCGCCAACATCGCAATATTTAAAATGCTAAATCTCAACTTTTTAAATGCAACACACTGTATATTATTTTTTTAGATGCAGAATTAAAAAGTGAACTTTTGTTGTATTTAAGGTATTCCTAAATTATTTTTAAGTTTCGCAGATTTTCACGGTATTATACGTAGGTATCACATATGGCGTTTTCAATGGCAAACATTTATCCAAGCCACATAACGATCTTTCTCTGATATTTCTCCGTTGAAAAAACCTATATGTAAAATAATATCACGAATATTTGCGAAACCGTAAAAAATGTAGCACTTTAAATACAAGAAAATGTTCATTTTATATGTTTACATCTAAAACAAAAAAAATTTGCGCCGCGGCCGGAAGACACGTATAGCCGCCCATACTAAAATATGTTAATAATCAATTATCTCAAAAACTGCGACTTTGACTGATTTTGATGTTATTACAAATTTTGTTGCAAATATTATTCCTAATCTTAAATTGAAAACCGCATTTCGCTAGCAACTGTAATTTTATAGTTACAATTTTTTTTAATTTTTAACCCCCTCCCATACCCCCTTACCAACCCCCCACCCCCACCAAAAACGAATGGCCAGATTCTCGGGTGCCACAGTATTTTTGTGCCAAATTTGGTTAAAATCGGTTAAGCGGTTTTTGAGTTACCGTGTTACAGACGGACAGACAGACAGACACCATGAAAATATTTTGTATTTAGGTCATTTATGACCCAAATGACTCATTTTGAGTGAAATTAAAAAAAAATCTTTTTTGCCCATCCTAATACCCTACCATACCTATTGGTATGGTCGGCTAATAATATGCAGAGTGTTGCATCTGTAGAGATGATTTCTATGAAAGAATACAGGGTCCGAATTCTGAAACTTCGGCATATAAACGTGACGCTTTCAAAGTGGCAAGCAAAAGTATCCGTTTAGCAAAACGCTAAGCAGTTGATTTTCGTATTCTCCGTGCGATGCAAATCATTTTTTGGATACGCGTTAAGCGCGTACTGGCAGCATCGCAATTTCTCAGGTAGCTAATAGTCAAATGTGGATAAAACGAAAAAAAAAATGTCAAAATATCAACTAACATAAGCTTTTTGACATGAAATGTGTAAACTCGGAATATGCTTTCAAGAATACAAGCGACTTGATCAATTCACTTAATTCACTTAACTCGTGTAAACGCGCCTTTAAGGTAGCCATTCATTCATTCATCAGGCGTAACTACAATGGTGCCAGAGGGTGCCCCCCCTCCCGGGTACTGCTGGGCACCCCCAGGGAAATTATGACTCTTGGCTACGTATTAACTTTTATTTGCTTGTGATGTAGTAAAAATGACGTTTTCTAGTTTAGTTTAGTTAAAATTATTTGTTGTGTTCAAAAAATGTGTTAATTTTTATTTTTTTAGAAAATTTGTAGGTATTTAAGTAATCTACAGGAACACGGTTTGATAACCAAGTCTATGAAATGTATTGATAGAGAAATACATTCGTTTTATTCAAAAAATGTGTTTTTAATATTATTCTTAATTTTTTAAAGAACAAAAGACCTAGGCCTCCCCTCGGCTCAAGTCCACGCCCCCCCCCCCCGGATGAATTGCTAGTTACGCCAATGAAGCCGTTTATGAATCGTTAAGCGCAATCGATAAAGACGCTAAGCACATCAAATCAGAATACCTAAATCGGCAGTTAAGTGCGAGCTAATCGAAAATTTACGTCATATGCGCTGAACGTCTAGTGCTTAGCGTTTTTCTAAGTTCCAGAATTCGGGACAGTACTTGTATTTGCAAAATTCTTCAATTATGAAGAAATAAGAAAGAAAATTTGAATGAGAAAAATAATACTGTCGATCGACCAATGTTTGAACATAAATATAATTTACAGTAATTTCTATTGGTCCATATTTATCTGTAAGTAGTTTTACCATAAGTACTAAACAGGTTTTGCATTACAGTGGACGTTCTCTATTATTATTGGGCCAGCCTATACATAAAATATGTCTAGAATTTCCTGAAGATTCCAAAAATTAAATAACAAATAGAGTTTGTATTTAAAATAAGAACATTGTTATAGGCCACTATTACATGATACCCTGTATCCATACTAAGGGCTGGCAAAGGTTAGTCTTGGGTCGAAATTTCCGTATGTAAGAAGAGTACAATGCGTTTATAATGTACTGAACAAAGAGAGAACAGTAAACACGTTGCCAAACGTATGAAATAAACCGAGGAACTGTACACATTGCTAAGAGACATGGAAGGGGATATAGCAGATTTGTCGCAGTTGACTGGTCGACCCAATCAGTACGTCTGTCAGTACTTGGAAAGGTGTACATCATGCGTTCAGCTTCACGATTTAATTACGTCTCGTGATATTTTATTTGTTTATTTATTAGTCGTTGTAATTTTTCCTATAGCTTAAAAAATTTTCAGTTCAAGTTAGAAACACTTGCATTTTTGGTAAAAATAAGTGGAATTGAATTAGTATTCGACAGTGATTGCGCTATTAGAACTCTGAATTTAAAAATCAATATCTCGAAATCTATTAGAAATAATTATTGATTGTAGTTTTTTTCAAAAACTTTCTTAATATTTCTGCTATATTTTCTTCGCAGACAGTATGTGAAAATCTTTATAAATAAAAAAGTTACACGATTGCTGAAAGTTGCTATGCACTAAAAGTAAATGGATGGGTTATTTAAAATTTTTGAATGGAAAAGAGTAACCTTGTCGAATTTTTCTTATTAAAACATATTGTAAAAGATCCGATCTTCAAAATAAAGAAAGTTTCTAAAGTGGTTCTTAAGTTACGGCATGTTATGTGTTAAAAAGTTGAGTTTTCAAATTATCGCGATTACTGACGATATCCTTATAATTCCATTTCAGATGCTCAGAAACAATTGATTTTATCTAGTTATCTTTTCGAATAAAAAGTCTTAATAAAATAAGCGGTTTGTGATCGTGATTTTACTTTACTTGATAGGGACATACCGGCAACGCCGCAACAGCACAGCTTCGAATTTCTCTCACTCCGACTTAATAAGGTCCCTATGCGATTTACTTCCACACATGGAAATACCGACCCAAAAGTAACAGTTGCCAGCACGGTATAACAAGTTTTTGATGAAAACAATATCCACACATATCAGAGTAAAAAATCTAATTATTGAGTTAAGCATTCCTAGCGCACTCAAGCAATCTTTGTAACAATAGTCACTATACAATAAAGTGGCTATGTAGGTAAGGAAATCAACTTTATTTATATATTATTTACAAAAGTAGTAATACATTTGTGAGAAAAGTATTAAATATTATAATATCTAATCCGCACTATTTAAGGTTTAAATCCTGCAAAAAATAGACAAGCATTAAATACATACAAATAATTTACTATTCATACATACCGCCTTTCCCTCAAAGGTAATGTTTCTCTAATGGGAGCTTTAGTCTTAAATAGTATATTTTTATCGCCCATGCTAGCGTTAAATCCAGGCAAATATTGTTCTCCAGGAGCCTTAAAACCAGTTGGTTTAAAATATATAATATACATTAATATAACAGCATAACCCTGACTGATCTTTCATTAAAAGTCTAGATAACTGCAGTATTTTAGATCAAATATTTGTAAAATTCAAATGCCTCACGAGAAAAATTAAATATTTTAAGTATTTCATGGAAATGGATGTAACTGTCACTAAAATTGTACCGGGTGAGCAATTAAAAATGGACGCCGGCTATATCTGAGAAACTACTTATCGTATAACTTTAGGAAAAAAAATTGATAAGCAAATCGTTCAAGAGAAGTCGTTAGAGATAAGCAAATCGTTTAAGAGAGGTTATTTTAATGTCATTAAGTTGTTATTTATCTATGTTCGTTCGTGATTCGACCCCACAAATAAAAATCCAGGTATATTAAATCCGGTGACCTAGTTTACATCTGCCGCTCCAGCCTATAATGTTTTTTTGTTGTGCCAAACAGCGCCCTATAGCCACCAGGGCAAAAAATATAGATACAAAGTTTATACATATAATAGATTATTAAATAAGAAAAGCTCTTTTAAATGAGCTCTAATTTGTTTAATTCAATAATTGAGTTATTCTTAATTTAATCAAACCAAGTTTAATCTGACTCCACCATTTTATTTTATGAGATAGAAAAAAATATGCTATACCAAAAAATTACAAATTTTCCATTGATTTCAATAGCAATATACAAGATGGTTCGAACTGTATTCCGGAAACTTCGGCAACATATTCTGCAGATAAAAATAAGTAAAAAAGTTCGTATAAATGTATGCCCTAAAATGTTTAGTTTCGGAAATACAGGGTGTAGAAATTTCATTTTTATTTCGATTTTTTTCAAATCATTTCTGAAGTAACGTCAATATTTGGATAAAAATTGGTGTCTGGAAGTTTTTGATGTCAATATGACTCTCATTTGTAGGGGGCGCCACCTACATGTGTTTTAACTGTTTTGAAGAGTAATAACTTTTCGTCAGTACCTGTATAAAAGTACTGAGTGAAAAAATATACATTTCCGTGAGTTTTTACGTAAAAAATGTCTCTTGGTAAAAATCACTACGAGTAACCGTTCTCAAGATATTTAGAATGGAAATAGTCAATCCGTGTCATTATTGACAAAAAATAAACATGTTGGGTAGATAGTTATTTGAATGAAATAATAAATTCGGTAAATTTTTATTTTTTTAAATTAATAATAAATTTTTCTGAGAAGAAATGATGACAAACCAGTTTCTGTTAAACTTTTGGCAGAAAAACATTTCAAATTTATGACTTCAGTCTAATAACTAATTTATGTCAAGGATATAATTTCAATTCCAAATATCTCGAGAACCATTACTCGTAGCGATTTTTCCCAAGAGACCTTTTTTACGTCAAAAATGTCGTAAATGTATTTTTTTTACTCAGTAGACGGACGTCAGTAGGTACGGACGAAAAGTTATTACTTTCAAACCATTTAAAAAATATGTAAATACCGCTCTCTACAAGTAGAACTCATATTGACATCAAAATCAAATTTCTCATGTCAAAAAACTCCCAGACACCATTTTTCATCCAAATATTTACGTTACTTCATAAATTATTTGCAAAAAATCGAAATAAAAATGAAATTTCTACACCCTGTATATCCGAAACTAAGCATTTTAGAACATAAATTTATATGAACGTTTTTACTTATTTTTATCTGCAGAATATGCTGCCGAAGCTTCCGGAATACAGTTCGGACCATCCTGTATATTGCTATTGAAATCAATGGAAAATTTGTAAGTAGTTTCTAAAATACAGGTGGCATCCATTCTTAGTTGGCCACCCAGTACATCCAAGGAGGTGTCACAAATGGAAATGACAATCGATGACATTCCCCATATAATTTTACACATAAAATGCGATCTTCATTTCAAAGCCATCGCTGACGCCGTTTTTTTTTCGATCATATTGTGTATGTCGTTATTTGACAACATTGAAAGTCCTTTTTTGTCAAATGATTTTATATTCAGTATGAAGAATTATGCAAAAAATTAAAATTCTAATCCAGATAGTAATTATCAGATTTTAGTTATTCTAGATATTGCAGATCTTTCACTGTCAATCTTTTAAGAAGCTCAGCCATGGTGTCCCCATAATACATACCGAATTCATAATTTTATGGTAATCATCAGCTTCTTCAGGATCCACAAGTAACTCGGGGACCTCATAGCAAGGGATATTCAAATAAGCTAGTATTTCGTGCTTCTGGCTTGCATAACTACAAATCACAAAATGTAGATACTGTTTAATGACACTAATAATTGTATTTTAATTATAGTAGATACTATAAAAACTTGAAGAATCCAAAAACTGCAGGACAAAATCCAAACAATAAAGTAACGTTATGTTCTCATATTTGACAGAATATCAAATAAATTATGGAAACTTTCAGGCACAAAACGGGTACGAAATCTTTGTAAATGTGAACCACATCTGTTTCTTAAAACTTTCGAAAAATTTGTGACACTAAGATCTTTATGGCTTATAATAGAGAAACCATATTTTGGTAAAATGTTTCGAAACAAAAAGCGATTTCTGTTAAGAAACATATGTATCAAAAATGTGACGAAACTGTTTCGCAATGTTTCTCGGCGGAATTTTGTTCCGATTTTGTGTCTAAAAATGCTACTTGGGACACTGCACGATCGATCCAAAAATCATATGTAGCCATATAATGACGATCGATGATAATTTTTGTCGGATTAACCCCCTTAGACGCCGCGTAATATTTTTTTTAATGCAAGTATGAACCACGCTATTTCTACTCTATAAACTTTTCACTTTTTTCCATACTAAACTATTAATTTTAACATATTTTAATCAAGTCAATTTTGCCAAATGACGTTGTTTTACCTGCACAAAATGTTTACTAACTTATTAGATGTTATATATTGGATGATATGTATTTTTATTTCTTAATGTAGGTATATAAAGTGTAACAATATTTTTGACCACGACCCATTACAGAAATTTTGAATGCTTTCTACATTTCAAGCAGCGATACCAATTAAACTTTTAGTTACGTAATCGAGGGTACAATTTTTAAATTCATTATTGCCAACCATGAACATATTCGGCGCCGGGCTGACTAACTGGAATTTGAATTTCCCGCTGGGGATTCAGGTGGTAGCTCTACTGTAAAAAATGTCAAGTTGCCACATTTATTTATTTCCTGACACCTGCCATTGTCATTCGTTATGACACTTTCGATGACTTTCGTTTTGTATTACAGTTTTTGGTTTAAATGAATTGTGTTGTGATACTTTAGGCTTAACATTTTTTATTAACAAACCCTGCGGTCGAACTTTGTCTTTTAGAACCTCTTTTAGTGCGAAGTGTATATGATAGCTCAATAGGCGTTGCTAGTCAGTTCATCGCAACCTTATTAGAATATTTTGAACGAGAAACCAGTAGTAATAGCTCTTTATGTCCCTTAAAGTTGTTGCAATTGTAATAGTCGCCGCTTATGGCCCAAATGATGATGCTACACAACTGACTAAGGATGCCTACGACCAACTAAATGAAACTATTTCAAGAGCAGGAAACCAGAGAGAAACAATAGTGATGGGCGACCTAAATGCTAGAGTAGGATCAAACACGAACAGTAATATAGTCGGAAGGCACGGTGAAAATACTCTTAATAACCACGGACAAAGACTGATCGAGCTATGCGAACAACATAAACAAAAAATTCTGAACGGATTTTTTCAACATAAAGACATCCACAAATACTTGGCATCAAGAAACGAGACAGCTACAATCAATTATAGACTATATAATTGTTAAACAGAGATCCTTTTTAAAAGTTCAAGACACTAGGGTATACAGAGGAATAGAATGCGGATCTGATCAGTTTTTCTTAGGCGCAAAAATACAAATTCCTTTTAAGATAAAAGAAAACGAAACAGACACAACAAACATCTCAACAATAGGACAAACATCTTACAATATAGAAGGACTTCACGAACCTAGTACAAAACATTTATTTAAGACTCGATTAGATAACAAACTTCAAACTGAATTGCTATCAGGGCGCACGGATGAATTGCTATCAGGGCGCACTCCGCTGCACAAGAAGCTCTAGGAATTAAGCCGAAATACGTGAACAAACGAAACAACAATGTTACATGGGATAACACAGTAGAGGAGCAAAAACAAATAAAACAAAAAGCTTTCAACAAATGGCTAAATTCTAAAGATCCACAAGATAAAAACAACTACAGAAATGAACAATCAAAATTCAAAAACATGACCAACAAAAACAAAAACGACACATGGGACAGGAAATGCACTGAACTGTACACACGTGGGGGGTACTAAATCATCAGAAGCATGGAAATTCATAAAATCACTAAGATCAGACACCACAAACAAGATCAACTTACAACCAATCCCAATCGAAAAGTGGAGATCTCATTACCAAACGCAGCTTACCGAAGATCGACAAGAGTACCTCGTCAGCTCACCAAGACGATACAACGTACAAGGCCACTATATCGACGTTACAAGGGAGATGATATGGAAAGCTGTTAGTTCAATGAAAAATAGGAGAGCAGCTGGACCGGAAGGAATACCTGCGGAAATGTGGAAGAACGGTACTGAAAAACTAAATTTCTTTCTTCGAGAACTATTTAACAGACTCCTAAATAATGGAGATCCTGTACCAACTATATGGAAGGAAGGCTAGATAACGCCAATTCACAAAAAAGGAAGACGTGACGAATGCTCAAACTATAGATGTATATCCGTAACCAGCACAATGAGCAGAGTATACGGAAAAAACTGCTTAGAAACATCGTAGAAACAGAATATGGTCCACAAGAAATTGAAGAGCAAGCAGGGTTTAGAGCTGGTCGATCGTGCATAGATCATATATTTAGTCTAATCCAACTTAACGAAAAGAAGGTAGCAAGGAATAGAGAGGCTCATCTGCTTTTTGTTGGCCTTTCAAAAACATATGATACAGTGCCAATCCAAAAACTGTGGCAAGTGCTGGAGAACTCTCCAATTAACAATACAGCGACCAAAGCCATCAAACTGCTATACCACCAAGCATTTTCCAGAATAAAGATCGGCAGTAACATATCAGAAACCTTTTATGTGACCAAAGGCCTTCGTCGGGGATGTTGTCTATCGCCAACTCTCTTCAAAATCTACCTCAATGAAGCCTTAAAGAAATGGAGAAGATCCTGCAGTGGAATGGGAATAGAACTAAAAATGACACCTACCTATATACTCTTCATTTTGCAGATGACCAAGTGACAGTGGCCCAAGATAGGGAAGACCTTGAATTCATGGCGAGGAAACTTTTAAGAATACGCAGAGTGGGGATTAACTGTTAATTGCAGTAAAACTAAATACATGTTTATCGGTGGAGAGGGAACAGATTTGGAAGCGGACGGCAGCTGCATAGTACAATATTGTTCAGATTATACCTACCTCGGAACAAAGATCAGCCAAAGTGGACGAACTGAAGAAGAAATATTGGAGCGAATAATTAAAGGGAAAAGAGTTACAGGGTGCCTAAACTCACTATTATGGTCAACAAACATCTCTATCGAAAGAAAACACCTTTAATACAATGCAATATTTAAAAGTGTTGTATGTGAAACCTGGCAAATAAATAAAACTTTAGAGCGTAAACTACTGGCTTTTGAAATGGATTTTTGGCGCAGATCTGCCGGAAAGTCGAGAATAGAACGAATAACAAACGAGAGAATTAGAGAGATTATGAGCGTAAAGAAAACTATCCTCGATGAAATCGAACAACGCCAACTAATATGGTATGGACATGTAGAGAGAATGGCTGACGAACGTCTACGAAAACAAATCCTAAAATGGACACCAGCGGAAAGAAGAAAGAAAGGAAGACCTAAAGTTACCTGGATTGAGGGCATTAACCGAGCCATGTTTTCCATTTCAAGACTTTCTTTGGTATTCGGTCCTCACTCATTCTTTCTACATGCCCATACCATACCAACTGTCTTCTCTGTATTTCATGAATTATCGTTTGCTGGACATGCAAACTTTCCCTGATCTTTTCGTTCGGTACAATTTCCCTTCTTGATATTCCCGCAGATCTTCGCCAGAAGTCCATCTCGAGTGCTAATAGTCTTTGTGTCATTCTATTAGTGAGCTGCCACGCTTCACATCCATATAAAACTATACTTTTAAAGATGGAATCATAAATAGTATGTTTTTTCTCATATGAGATGTGGTTGGGCCATAATACTGAGTTTAGGCACAATGACTTTTTTACTTTTCAGTATTCTTTCCTCGATCTCGCTCTCTGTTCGCCCAGTTATAGTCTATCTGAGTTCCAAGGTAGGTGTATTTACTGCATGCACCTATCTCTATATTTCTATCCAGATGTAGGGTTTCTGCTGCTTGGCCTATACATAAATTTACGTATTTACCAACAACCCCCACTTTCATACTCGTTCAAAAGCCTTGTTGTCATAAATTGTAGGTCCTCCTTGTAGAATGTAGAATGTTTAGAAGGGGAGTTAATCACCGCGACCTTATAGATCTATTGTGTGTTCCCCTTTCTTGAGTTATAACGAGTTATAACTCATCATACAGTCTCAGGGTTTTAAGAAAAGCCAGTATCTGAGACGGCTCCACAGAGGCCAGCTCTCCATCCTCGACATCAGACGTCAAGGTTCATGGCACGAATGGTCGTCGTCTCGGCGCACTCAGTGATAAGGTGTTCTGGTGTTTCCCCATTTTCCCCACAAAATCTGCATTCGCCGTTGTTTCTCAGTTTCAGCCCACTGAGGTGTTCGTTGAGGAGACAGTGTCCTGTTAGAAACCCCGTGACAATCCGAAGATTGTTTTTACTTAAATCAAGGAAAACTTTTGATTTTTCTCGGTCATAAGTTCTAAGGAACTTTTTCGAGTGTCTTAGACCGTTGGAGGACACCCATTCCAAGTTACGGATGGAGTCTTCCAGATTCTTCAGTTCCGCTTTCAGTTGGTTCCCGTTTGGAAAACAGAACGGTTCTGGTCCAGTTTTTTGGAGTGTTCGCTCCTTTCCTAGCTAGATCATTTGCTTTTTCATTGCCTTCTATCCCTTGGTGAGCAGGCACCCAGAGTAGGAGGACTTTATTTTCTTTGCCTAATTTGTTGAGCTTCTCTAGGCATTCTTTGACCAACTTCGAATTGATGGTTACTGAGTTGATCGCGTTAAGTGCTGCTTGACTATCGGATAGGATGGCAATTTCCTGTTTTCGATAGTTCCTATCCAAGATAAATTGTACGCATCTTTCGATAGCGCAAATTTCTGCCTGAAGGATACTCTAGGTCCTCCTTATCCTGGGCCACTTACCACTTTATCATCTGCAAAGTGAGGGTTGTATAAAGTTGTTTCGTCGTTAAGTGGTACGTCGTTAAGTGGTCCCATTCCTCTGCACGATCTTCTCCATTTTTCTAGGGCTTCGTTCAGATAGATGTTGAATAACATCGGGGATAGGCAGCAACCTTGTCGTAGGCCCTTAGTTACAGGAAAACTTACAGATAGCGTCGTACCAAGTTTTATTCTTGATGTTGCCTCATTATTATATCTGTTTAACTGCTTCTATCGCTATGTTGTTTATAGAGAATCTTTCGAGGACTTTCCAGAGATTTTGGATCGGAACGGTGTCATACGTTTTTGTAAGGTCAACAAAGAGCAGTACAAGAGCAGAGATGTACATCTCTATCGGTTGCCACTTTTTTTTTATTTATATGGACCAGAGTGAATATATGGTCCATACACGATCGTCCCGTACGGACCCTGCCTGTTCTTCTACGATATTATCCAAAGAGGACTCCGTATCACTGAAAGATGGTGTAGGACTGTCGGGCTGAGTATCAACTCAGACAAAACCGCGATAGTGCCATTCACCAGAAGGCGAAGTCTGAAAAACTTGAAAAGAATCCAACTAGATGGAAAGGAAATACTGCCAACACAGGAAGTTAAATACCTGGGAATGACCCTGGACAGTAAACTCCTGTGGAACAGGCATATTAAGAACACTACCAGCAAAGCCATAAAGGCTCTCATGATATGCAGAAGACTGGCCGGAAATAGATGGGGCTGCTCCCCTAACATTTTGCGCTGGATGTATACCATGATAGTAAGACCCATGATTACTTATGGAGCAGTTGCCTGGTACACAAAACTAGAGCAACGAACGGCAAGGCTAAACCTATGCAAAGTCCAGAGACTAGCATGTGTTTGCATCACAGGAGCCATGAGAACCTGTCCAACAGCAGCAATGGAGGTCATTCTAGATCTAACACCACTGCACATTGTCATTGGTAGATATGACAATGCGACAATGATTAGAATGGTCACTAACGGAATTAGTACTGGGAGAATTGTCAGATCAGGGGCTTGGAACACCCTCAAAAAGGAAATACCACTCCTGCAACTCCCAGTGGACGATATGCCAAGAACGTACAACTTTGACAAACATGTCACTGTCGTATTGAGCAATAAGGATTGGAAGAGCGAAACGCTTGCCCAGCAGTTAAAAGACCATACCATAACTTGGTATACTGATGCTTCCAAAACCAATACGGGAACAGGGATCGGAGTGTTTGGGCCGAGAGCTAATTACTCCGAACCAATGGGCACTTACCCTAGTATCCTACAGGCAGAAATCTACGCTATCGAGAGATGCGTACAACTTATCTTAGATAGGAACTATCGGAAACAAAAATACCATCTTGTCTGATAGTCAAGCAGCGTTAAAGGCGATCAACTCAGTATCAATCAATTCGAAATTGGTCAAAGAATGCATAGAGAAGCTGAATAAATTAGGCAAAGAAAACAAAGTCCTCCTACACTGGGTGCCTGCTCACCAAGGGATAGAAGGCAATGAAAAAGCAAATAATCTAGCTAGGAAAGCAGCGAACACTCCACTAACTGAACCAGAACCGTTCTGCTTTCCAAGTGGTAACCAACTCAAGGCGGAACTCAAGAACTTGGAAGATTCCATCCGCAACCTGGAATGGAAATTTTCCAATGGTCTAAGACACTCGAAGAAGTTTCTGAGGGCTTATGATGAAGAAAAATCACAGATCTTCCTGGGTCTGAGTAAGAACAATCTTCGGATTGTCACGGGGTTTTTAACAGGACACTGTCTCCTCAACGAACACCTCAGTAGATTGAAACTAAGAAGAAACGGCGAATGCAGATTCTGTGGGGAAGATGGGGAAACACCAGTACACCTCATCACTGAGTGCGCCGAGATGACAACCATTCGTGCCATGAATTTTGGTACGACTGATATTGGAGATGGAGAACTACCCTCTATAAAACCGTCCCAGATACTGGCTTTTGTCAAAGCCCTGGGACTGTATGATGAGTTATGATTCAAGAAAGGGGGACACAATGGATCTGTAAGGTCGAAGTAATTAACCCCCCTCCCACTCATTCTAAATTCTAAAATTCTAAAAAAATTAGAAGCTTTCGGTTTTTGTTTGCTACATTTAAGTTCTTATTAATATTCTTTAAGGTATTAATAAATTAACTTTTGCGTATAATTTTAACAAAAAATACATTATAGGAAAATTTTGACAAGGATGGTTGAATTTAATTGTCTGAAATAATTTAACGAATTTACATAATATATTTTCATTTAAGGAAAGTTCTTCAAAATTGTTCTGATAAATTTTATAAAAAAACTATTTAAAAACAAGTTTTTATTTAAATACACTAAAAAGAATAAAATAAACTTTTTCTTTAAAACTTTTATTATGAACTTATAACGTCATTACACAATTTTAATATTAATATATAAAAGCTTGCCGCGAGATTTGAGTGTACAGTTGCACTCATAAAAATCTGGTACGACAACTTTATCTTGTAATTCCTGGTCTAGTGGTCTATCATAACACAAACTTTGAAAATGAGACAGGGTAGACACAAGTTTTAGATAATTTACTTGTTTATCGATGTAGAGAAATCTCGCGACAAGCTTTTATATAATATTAAAATTGTGTAATGGCGTTATAAGTTCATAATAAAAGTTTTAAAGAAAAAGTTTATTTTATTCTTTTTAGTGTATTTAAATTTAAATAAAAACTTGTTTTTAAAAAGTTTTTTTTTGTAAAATTTATTTTCTACTTTTTAGTTATGCTGGTTTCTCAGTGCCACACATTTAAACTCAATTTTTTTCTTAAATAACTTTCTATGGGCATCCTAATAATATGTATATCGATTTTCATTAAAAAGGAGAACTTAAAAAACGACAGCTGTCAAATTTGACAGTTCAAATGTGAGACAAATAAAATGAAAACCGACTATGGGGTAGGGGGCATCCAATATATCGATTTTTATCAAAATCGGACAAATTTGAAATTTTTTTTGACAGCTGTCAAGTTTGACAGCTCAACATTTTTTTCTTTCATTTTAGCCCATGGCCATCATCGATTTTTATCCAAATCGGACAACTTTGAAATTTTTTTGACAGCTGTCAAATTTGACAGCTCAAAATTTTTTTCTTTCATTTTCGCCCATGGCCGTCCTTTATATCAATTTTTATCAAAATCGGACAACTTCGAAATTTTTTTGACAGCTGTCAAATTTGACAGCTCAAAATTTTTTTCTTTCATTTTAGCCCATGGCCATCCTATATATCAATTTTTATGAAAATCGGTTGACTTTGAAATTTTGACATGTCAAAGTTCTATATAAACTGTCATTTTTTCAAGATGGCCGTCCATATATTTTTTTCATATGTATATACCCACAATATACCTGTATATATAATTTTACCCCGATCCATTCATAAATAGAATTTTAAAAAATCAAAAACCGGACAAATTTGAAATCTTTTTGACAGCTGTCAAGTTTGACAGCTCAAAATTTTTTCTTTCATTTTAGCCCATGGCCATCATCGATTTTTATCCAAATCGGACAACTTTGAAATTTTTTTGACAGCTGTCAAATTTGACAGCTCAAAATTTTTTTCTTTCATTTTCGCCCATGGCCGTCCTATATATCAATTTTTATCAAAATCGGACAACTTTGAAATTTTTTTGACAGCTGTCATATTTGACAGCTCAAATTTTTTTTCTTTCATTTTAGCCCATGGCCATCCTATATATCAATTTTTATAAAAATCGGTTGACTTTGAAATTTTGACATGTCATTAAACTGTAATTTTTTCAAGATGGCCGTCCATATATTTTTTTCATATGTATATACCCACAATATACCTACTGTTCAATTCGTGAGGTTTGGAACTTTCGTCACAGATTGTCATTCTCTCTCTTATCCATGTTTATCACATGAAATGGAAATTTTGTGTCAAAAACGTAAGTCCATTATATTGATTACATCGTACGATTATTTTATTCTTTTTATATACTGATCACATGCTGATCACTATTATTACGGATAAAATATTTATGTCCTTGTCCGATAAGCACGAATAGAAAAGGACAAACATCGTGTTTGTATTACCCGCCGAAATTGAACAATACGGAACGCCGACTGTCAAAGTTGTCGTTAAATTTTAACGGCTCCGATAGTTTCTTGTAAATTTTTCAAAGAGGATTTTTATCACTTTTTGATATTTTTGTGGGAGTTTTTCTGTGTTTACTGAGTTATTTGTGAATTAATTTGTGTTTAAAATGCCGTCCCGTTTTAGTGAAAACGAACAACGGCTCATATTAAAAGTTATCCAGTATTTCAAACTCGAAAAAAATGCTGGAAAACCCCTTTTGCCTGTGTCGGCTGTTTACGATGTAATTGGACAACTATCAAGTAAATATTTTTTAACTAAATCGAAAATATTCACGTGTTTTATAGAGAGCATCGGAGGCTTTAGGAATTTCACGCACGACTGTGCAAAGAATCAGTTCTAGAGGAATCGTGAAAGATGAAGAACAAAAAGCAGCAACAAGTCACAGAATTGCTTTGTCCCGTGGAATTCCTGCTTATAAGATACATGAACATACAATTAGAACACGTATTTATTCAATGTATGCTGCAGGTAGGCTACAATAAATTCACATAATACACATCTATTTTTTGATCTTAGCTTTTATCTTCACTACACTTTATCTAAATACAGTAAACATAATTTTAATATGTAGTGTTTCAAATTTTAGTAGAATCTAATTTTTAGACATAGAATAAATTTTTAGTAGAATGATTGTAAAGAACAATGATGAACATGAGTTTTAATCATTTCTATTATTATTAACTATTAACTTATTAATACTTTTCTTGTGGTTCTAGAAAACTTTTTCAGAATAAATTTGTAGTTCTTTTCATAAAATTAATAATATTTTTTATTTATAAACTAAAATAAATATTTACAGCTTACATTGTAGATATAGTGCAAAAGCCAAATTTAACGTTAACGGTGTAACGCTAACATGAATACAATAGCTCCCTACTAATAGCGATAGCACCTTAAATGTTTACATCTATGGATCAACTCAGGAAATACGTGAAAACCAATATGGCGCCGAAAAAGATGACGAAAGTGCCTAAGTTCCCGAATTGAAATATATATATATAATTTTACCCCGATCCATTCATAAATAGAATTTTAAAAAATCAAAAACCTCAAAAATGCCGCCATTTTGACAGCTGTCAAAAATTCGGGTCATGCCTTGCAAAAAATGTATTGTCATCGGGTCTGAACCTACATGCCAAATTTCAATCTCCTACAATAAAAGGAAGTGGTTCTAATTTAGCTTACAAGATTTGCCCCGCAAAAACATACATACATACATAGATAGTTACATACAAAGCTTATAAAAAATAGCCTCCAATGAGGACACTAAATAAAAAATGGTCACTTGGCATTAGCAAGCCTCCAAATAAGTGGTCTTTATCGTTTTGAAAAGCTCTAAAGTGTGAATACTTTTGAATTGAACATTAATTTTGAATTGAATTGAAAATTAAACAGACTATATTTTGAATTATTTCCATAATTATTTGTGTAACCAGCAGCCGCACATCCCGGAAAACCTTTTCCCATTCCAACAATAAAAATAAAATTGAAATAAAAGCACAAATACCTATGGTTAAATATAAGAAAAAATCGAATTAAAATCTTCCGTAATACGGCCCTACACGTCACCGGTGGAGGTTATGCATCGACTGAATATGGACTGAATGAGGCTGACTGTCGCTGGCTTAATTCAGTTAAGCATCGTTGGATCGGGGCGTTTTAAATTCGAGCGTGGGAAAAATTGGCGAGTGTCCAAGCTATATTATTCTGTAAGCTGTGCCTTGTCATTAGTTCTTTCAGGTGTAGTATTAATTATTTTTATGACCGGTTTTTTAATAGTTCTGCTGGTAGTCCTTCTGGTCCTGACGCTTTTTTATTTTTCATGGATTTTAATGCTTTTCGTATGTCATATTCGTCGATGGTTATGTATTCTCCTTGTATGGTGCAACGTTTAGGGGTGTATAAAATATATCTTTCTCTAACTTCTTTTAGCTTTTTTGCGTAGTGTTCTTTCCATTGTTCTACAGGTATTGGCTGTATATTTGCGTTGTGAGATGTTTGTTTTCTTAACGTTCGGATCAGATTCCAGGCTTCAGACGACCTCGTTCCACCTATGTAGCAATCAACTTCATTACATTTCCTATCCCATGTCTCGTTTTTATTGTTAGCGATCATGTTTTTATAAATATTTTGTTCTAATTTAGGCGAAAATATTTCTTGCTTCAAAGCAAGGAAAAAGTTTCTTGCTAAAACCTATGGAGATAACCCGAAACCTGAAGCTTTTAGAATAGATGCTAAATATTTCCCTAGAACTATAAAACCAAGAAAAGAGACAGTAATTCGCTGCACTGCAGACAGATTTATAAATATTGGAATACTACGGATTTGACCCAACATAGGACCTGCGCCGGCGCCGGCCGGAGACCCGGCGTTCTGTCCGGCTGGCAGCCCGACTTTTTGTTTGTGTCGGGTCGGCAAAGTACCCGATCCGGTATATTCCTATATGAAACACTGACACAAGTAAATCAGAAACACTGACACAAGGAGATCTTTTTATTCAGTATGGTCCAAGAATCAACTCCTCAGTACTCATCTAGTAAGTTAACATTTGTCTGATATACAGGGTGGTCCGAACTGTATTCCGGAAACTTCGGCATCATATTCGGCTCATAAAAATAAGTAAAATAGTTCTTATGTATGTCCTAAGATGCTTATTTTCTGAGATACAGAGTGTAGAAGTTTCATTTTTATTTCCATTTTTTCCAAATAATTTCTAAAATAACGTCAATATTTGAATGAAGTTTGGTGTCTGGGAGTTTTTTGATATGAGAAATTTGATTTTGATGTCAATATGACTACTAGTTGTAGAGGGCGCCACCTACATATCTTTAACGTGTTTGAAGAGTATACACTTTTCATCCGTACCTGTATAAAAGTACTAAGTAAAAAAATATACATTTACGACATTTTTAACGCCAAAAAAGGTCTCTTAATAAAAATCCCTACGAGTAATAGTTCTCGAGATATTTGAAATCGAAATTATCAATACCTGACATCATTGACATAAATTAAACATGTTAACTGATGTTAACTAAATAGTTAGACTGAAATCATAAATTTGAAATATTTTTGTGCCAAATCATCATCAATCATTATTTTTTTGAAGAAAATTTTATGAATAATTTAAAAAAATAAAAATTTCTCAAATTTATCATTTCAGTCAAATAACTATCTACTAAACATGTTTATTTTTTTATATATTTTTATTTAAAGGCATGTATTGACTATCTCCATTCTAAATATCTCGAGAAGGGTGGCTCGGTAACGATTTTTACCAAGAGACATTTTTTACGTAAAAACTCACGGAAATGTATATTTTTTCACTCAGTAGTTCTATACAGGTACGGACAAAAAGTTATTACTCTTCAAAACAGTTAAAACATAATGTAGGTGGCGCCCTCTACAAATAAGAGTCATAATGACATGAAAATCAAATTTCTCATGTCAAAAAACTACCAGACACCAATTTTCATCCAAATATGGACGTTACTTCAGAAATTATTTGGAAAAAACCGAAATAAAAATGAAACTTCTACACCCTGTATCTCAGAAACTAAGCATTTTAGGACATTTATTTATAAGAACTTTTTTACTTATTTTTATCTGCAGAATATGCTACCGAAGTTTCCGGAATACAGTTCGGACCACCCTGTATACTAAAAAAAATAAACATACGAATTTTCAAACAAAGTAATATGTTAATATTTAAAAACTTACCGGTATCGAAGCATAGCCCATTCTTCTTCTGAATCAATATCCCAGTCTTTAAAGTGAGTGCCTTGTGGCTCAAAACGATCGAAATCAATTGCTTCTATATCTTCCACAACTACTTCCATATCTCCTTCAACAGACCAGTCATAAACTAATAGTTCTGCATGAGTACTACAAAGTATTTTAGATAAAAAAAAGTAAAAATAAAAAAATACAAATAAACCTTATATCTTTCAGATACTTTTGCTTGTAGAATTTTTCCAATACACCAAGATAATTTTCGTTCATTGCAGGCGAATTAACCTCATAACTAATGTTACGTTTCTTTATATTCTCCAATACATTTGGAACAGGGACATCCAAATAAATCACTAAATGTGGTTTTATTAATTCCTGCAGGGTGTTGTCACGATATTCATAATACTTTTTATAAGCTAAAACAAAATATTCTCATAACTAAACTTTACGAGGATGGTTAAATTAGGGCAAAATTGCGCATTAATGTAATATAAAATATGCCGTTTAGGAACATTTAAAATTCCATTTTTAAATTTTCCAGCTACATGTTATGATTTTTATGAGTACCTTGTTTATATAGTGTATTGTTATGATTAACAAATTATGGTTTATGTATATGTCAGATTGTATTATTCATAATGCATGGTTTTTATGACAGAGGCGATAGAATGTTACGGGAGATAAGATGGTGAGTGTGGCGCCCGCCGCAGTCAGTCATATTGATAAAAACTAAAGTTCTTTGGTAAAATAAATAACTTATAAAAAAACCTGTTACAAACAAATTACTGCATACAACTAACACTATATTTCGTACAAGGAATTATGAAAAACCATACCAGTCTTTCATGAAGTTGACTATTATTAGTAAATTGATATTTAATATTTAAGAATGTATAAAAAAACATCTCCAGTGTTAACAAAAGTTTCAGTTTTAATTAATTTTAAATTTTACAGGAAGGTATAAAAAAATAGAACTAAATGTTCTTATACTTTTAGTAACACGTATCAGTAAAAGCACAGGGTTACAATGCTGCAACCCATATTAATTAATTAATGTTTGGCTTCGATAATGATCATTGAGGATCGTTGGTTGCAGGGGATTATGAGCTGGCCCGATCCTCTTCAACTGGGTTCTGATTGGGGGTCTAATTGAATCTAAACTTTTCAGTAGAAATAGTAAATAAAAAAAATAATTAAAAATAAAAACGAAATATCTTTAGTATTAAAAATAATTGGAATATTATTCATTAATACTTATTTTTATTAAAATAGGGTCAACATATGAATCGATTGAAAATATACTTGGTTGGTTACTGTATGAATAGCAAGGTGAATTTAATTCTCATATTTGGAGAAGTGTTATTTAAAACTGCAAACAGAAGTAAAAGAAAAATAAATCTTTAATTTATGAAAGCTTTTGGCAGATAAATATTTCTAAATATTAAAAAAAAATTACAGTTCCATAGTAAATAAAATTTTCAGTCAAAAACTAAATGAAATCTATGCAATAATCAAAGATCAAATGAGTTTGTAATAAAAATAATTAATTCTGACAATTGGGGTACTACAAAATACAGTATCTGCCATAATGTGACGTCTAATATCAAAAAAAAAGAAATCTAACGTCTAATATAAAATACTCTTTGACTTTATGGATTCACTTAAGGCGAACAATTATTAAGTAGATATAAAGTTTTGTATGTTTCAACATTCAATTTCTTGGAACCATAAAAAGGGACATCGATTTGCAGCGATGCGAGTAAGGTCAGGATGAACGAACGTTCTTTTAAAGTTACAATTTACTCTTAATACAACAATTTAAAAGTGGATTAGGTTTTCCCCACTTTACTTATTTTCATTATTACTTACTATTAAAAATAAAACAAAACTCAAAATTTAAGTAGATCAGAATTAAATGTTTAGATGGTGTTAATATAAGCAAATACTTTAGCAGCCAGTATAAGGCGTGTATTGTCAGTTGCAATATTTTGAAATTTGGTTAATTATTTTATTAAGGATTAGATTCTGGTCTTTGTTAAGATGACCTTATGAGATTTATTTTTGAATATAAAACACAACAAAGGTATTACTGATTTAAACCTAAAACAAAACAAAAATAAATTAAAATAAAAACCTAAAAATAAGTAGAGCTCTAATGCGAGCATAAAACCTAAAAATAAGTAGAGCTCTAATGCGAGCATAAAACCTAAAAATAAGTAGAGCTCTAATGCGAGCATAAAACCTAAAAATAAGTAGAGCTCTAATGCTAGCATAAAACCTAAAAATAAGTAGAGCTCTAATGCGAGCATAAAACCTAAAAATAAGTAGAGCTCTAATGCGAGCATAAAACCTAAAAATAAGTAGAGCTCTAATGCGAGCATAAAACCTAAAAATAAGTAGAGCTCTAATGCGAGCATAAAACCTAAAAATAAGTAGAGCTCTAATGCGAGCATAAAACCTAAAAATAAGTAGAGCTCTAATGCGAGCATAAAACCTAAAAATAAGTAGAGCTCTAATGCGAGCATAAAACCTAAAAATAAGTAGAGCTCTAATGCGAGCATAAAACTTAAAAATAAGTAAAGCTCTAATGCGAGCATAAAAACTTAAAAATAAGTAAAGCTCTAATGTGAGCATAAAAACTTAAAAATAAGTAGAGCTCTAATGCGAGCATAAAAACTTAAAAATAAATAAAGCTCTAAAGCGAGCATAAAAACTTAAAAATAAGTAAAGCTCTAATGCGAGCATAAAAACTTAAAAATAAGTAAAGCTCTAATGTGAGCATATAAACTTAAAAATAAATAAAGCTCTAATGCGAGCATAAAAACTTAAAAATAAATAAAGCTCTAATGCGAGCATAAAAACTTAAAAATAAATAAAGCTCTAATGCGAGCATAAAAACTTAAAAATAAGTAAAGCTCTAATGCGAGCATAAAAACTTAAAAATAAATAAAGCTCTAATGCGAGCATAAAAACTTAAAAATAAGTAAAGCTCTAATGCGAGCATAAAAACTTAAAAATAAGTAAAGCTCTAATGCGAGTATAAAAACTTAAAAACAAATAAAGCTCTAATGCGAGCATAAAAACTTAAAAATAAGTAAACCTCTAATGAGCATAGAAACTTAAAAATAAATATTTTTTTTTCTTTTTTTTTATTTTTTTTATTTATCTTTTCAGAAGCAATAAAGGAGGGATGTCGAGGACGACCGGAAAGTAGGATGGCCGTTATGATTTTTATGAGTACCTTGTTTATATAGTGTATTGTTATGATTAACAAATTATGGTTTATGTATATGTCAGATTGTATTATTCATAATGCATGGTTTTTATGACAGAGGCGATAGAATGTTACGGGAGATAAGATGGTGAGTGAGGCGCCCGCCGCAGTCAGTCGGTACCGTGCGCTCGCACGATACACATGTTTGTGTCGTAATCCTAAGTACTAAAATGTAATAAAGAAGTTATGAGGGAAATCCAGTGTTTTATTTGGAAATACAAGATCTATTGTTTACATACACAACAGTGTTTTCAAATTTGACATCCGATGTTTCGTCTTTTGACCACCATCATCAACTTTACTTCTTATAGGCGCCATTATAGATTTTTTACACACCAAAATAGACAAAGTCATTGCGATTCTAACGATGTACACCAAGTTATGCATAGTGGCTTTTAAACGTCAAAAATTTGTAAATATCGTTTTTTGTTAACATTGTATTGCACATTTGACAAAAACAGCGCAAGAAATTCCCCAGAGGGGTGTTTGGGAAACCTTTTTCATGTAAAGTACACCCAGAGATCTTAACAGAAGGCTCAAATATTGCTATTAACTCACAAAACTATTAGCCACCCATACACCAGAAGATTTGGACTGCGGACTTGTCCTGCGCATTTAGTTCGCGGACTTGGCGTGTCACGTACCAAAACTCTTGTATTTTGGTCAGCGGACTTAAGCTTGATCTTCATGCATCCATTAAACTTGATCTTCATGCATCCGTTATCCGACGATACGATATTAATTCTATTGGTTGAATTCAAAGACTTCGATTCGTTAGAAAATTACTTACGTTATTAACTTATTTCCATGCGTCCGTTTGTCGGATACCAAGGATATACGAATTGCTTTTGTTATTGGTGACATTTACGGATGAAAATCATCTAACGGGTGCATGAAAATCAAGCTTTATCCGAAGATACGATGATACGATTATAATTTTATTGGTTGAATTTAAAGACTTCGCTTCGGCTTGGTTAGAAAATTACGCAGTTTTTAAATTTATTTATACGATTTGCTTGTGATTGGTGTCGCTTTATATTTTCATTTCCATAACGATTTCGCTGTTTTATTTATAGTCTAAGAGCTAGCAACGTTTTCGAGAGAGAATTTTAAGAAAGATAGTGTAAAACTCTGCAACTAAATAGCGATCGGTAGCGATGAAGAATACTGTCGCTTGCCGTTTAGTTTCTACCACCAAGGTCAGTATCAACAAGGTCCAAACCAAACCACCCCTGGTTCTTTAATATATCTTTTGCTATGCTCTCCTTAACAAATTTGACTTAGCCTGCCGATTAGATCATTGCTCGATTAAATATTCTCGCTTGGCACAAAATTCGACGTTTTATAGCAGTTTTTATATAGATGTTTATCGGATTAAAAACTGCCGCTTAGAAAGAAAGAGCGTTACAAGCCCGCCGAATTGTGGTGTATTTGATAGAAATAATGAACACCTTTGGAACGGAAATAATCCTACCGCAGGTTGTGTGCACTGATAATACTGGATGTTAGGAATGCTTTTAACATCCGTTCATGGCAGCTAATTTTGGAAGAATTGAGAGAGAGGGGCATTAAAGCTGGGCGCGCACTGGGACCCTATTCTGTATCTTTTTCGGTTTCGGATCCGAAAATTCGATTCGGTTCACTACCGAACGATAGAGTTGTCGAATGTTACGTTCAGTAGCGCGCATTGCGATTCTGTATCACTGTTCGGCAACCGTTCGGTTCGGTTTCGAAGCAACCGAAAAACAATCATGGTTAGAGCATGACAGTAGGACGTGATAGTGACAGTGACGCTTTCAAATTTTGTATATGTTCAAATTCACCTTTTTATAACGCTTCTGTTCAACTTTTTCTAAAGGTTTGAGGATAAGTGAGTGATGACAGATTTACAGGTAAATAAGATCTATTTTCCAGAAGGAGTAAGTAATATTAAATATTCTTTTAGGCACCGAAGGGAATCCGTATGACTATGCAGCAGAGAGAAGTCTCGCTTCGCTTTATACAAGTACATGAAAATTTTGCAGAAAAAAGAAGAATGCTCGCTGTTGAAAATTCTTTGCAACTGCCATGCGAATACTATGAAGATGTGAATCTGATAAACAAATATACTTTTAAAATATCCATAGTGTACAGAAGCGTAAA